CCTTGGCCGCCGCCCCCCCTGGTAGATCCCATCTACCAGGGCCGGCGCCCCCCTGGCACCCCTATATATAGTGGGGGAGAGGAGGGACTTGAGGCCCACGCTTTTGGTGCTCCCCTCTCTCCCTGTTACATCTCCCTTTCTCGTAGTACACGGCGAAGCCCTGCTGTCGTGACGCCCTGCATCCACCACCACGCCGTCGTGCTGCTGGATCTTCATCAACCTCTCCTTCCCCCTTGCTGGATCAAGAAGGAGGAGACGTCTCCCGTCCCGTACGTGTGTTGAACGCGGAGGTGCCGTCCGTTCGGCGCTGGTCATCGGTGATTTGGATCACGTCGTGTACGACTACATCAACCTCGTTCTAACGAACGCTTCCGCTCGCGATCTACAAAGGTATGTAGATGCATCTCGTGACTCGTTGCTAGATGAACTCCTAGATGATCTTGGTGAAACGAGTAGGAAAATTTTTGTTTTCTGCAACGTTCCCCAACAATAGTTGAGTGCACGACAATGACCTAGCACACCTTACTCTTCGTCTAAAAACACTGCAACATAATACGTTGCAGCCTGTGTAGGTCAGCACATGAAATATGCTGGCAAAATAACACTATAGAGCAATGAACATGTAACAACTATAACTATATGCATATATGGCTGGTGGAGGCTCTATGGTTATTTTTGCAGAAAGCTAGTTTTCCCTACAATAAAGGAATAGATTTTATTTAACTACAAAGTTTGTTGAAAACATTGAGAAGGTTCCTCCAACTAAATCCTAAAATAATAATTATCAACCCAACAATTAATTAAGTAGAGTGATGAGATCAAATCAATAATTCAAGTACCAGATACTCAAGATGTCCATAACTGGGGACACGGCTAACCATGATTAGTTTATACACTCTGCAGAGGTTTGCGCACTTTTCGCCGCAAGACTCGATCTCCTTCGTTGGATTTCTCGCACTACATGATGTTTGTGAAACGGATGACCGAGACACAGTCTTTCAGAAGCATTAACTCTTTATTTTGGGTAGACAGTACCACCTACATCCCCTACATCTGTTAACATACCACTGAAAGAGGTCACACAACATACTCAACTATGCCAGAGCCCATAATGGTTTGTGGCTGCACACGGAAGTTTCCAGCATGAATAATCTTATGATCCCTTTGAGTCTTGGTGGCATTCCATAGAATGATCACACGGGTACTCCAGGATATCCCAGGACAACACTGGATTGCTTCAGGTGCCCAGACAACCACTGGGTGCTCCAGGGTGCCTCAACTAATCCACCCAGATATGTATTAAAGTAGCTACCTCAAGTTTAACCATTAATTAAAATTCTCACATCTGTCATGGACCACTCAACCCAAACCACGTCTATAAGCATAGCATAGCAGTATAAACATAACGTAGTAACTCCCAAGGTTTGTATAAAAGACAATAGGTTCTACCTCATCAACTACTTCCCAATACCCACATGTTATCAAGTCCTAACCATGCAGTGTTTGAGGATTGGAACTAATACATAAAAACTGGGTAGTAAAGGGGTATGATCAAAGTGTTACTTACCTTGCTGACGATCTGAAAACCCTAGTGACTCGTAGTAGCACGTTTCGCACTCCAGAAACTCTATCGTGAACAAACAATAACATACATAAGCACTCAAGCATAATATGCAACGGCAAAACTCAAATAAAAAGATCCAAACTGAAAGTTCAACTGAAGAGCTTCGATTTGCAAAAGAATCAATCGAATCGGAGCTACGAAACTCAACCTACGACCAAAAAAAGTTTGAATTCAAATCTGCTTGAAACCCAATTTTAAATTGTCAAAACCATGTTCAAGTTTATTATCTGGAAAGAGGGGATCAAGATGAAGATTTTGGCGTTGGTTTCATTGGATTTGGACAAGCGAGCAAAAAGTAACGAGGGTTCAAAGACTGGGGACTAATCTGTGAGAAAAGTATTCGCGGATAGGTCCCTGACCGAAAATAAAATAAAATGAAAAACCTAACGAACGAACGTTCGCTATGAAGACCTAACTAACGAATGCGTTCGTTAAAACGAACTAAACAGAAAGCGTTCGCTAACTAGCGAAACCTAAAAACAGATATTAAAACCGTTGAACAGAAAAAAATAAACCGTTGAAACCTAAAAAAACCGATCTAGGTTTATACGTAAAAACCGGCGGAAACGGCGGCGGCGGAAATCCGGCGAGACGGCGAGGCGGTGGCTCCGGCGGACGGCGGCGCGGAGCTGCGGCAGGCGGCGCGACATCGGGCGGGGCAGCGGGCGGTGCGGGCGGCGGCACGAGGCGGCGCAGCAGCTGCGGCGGCTTGTGGTGGAGGCAGCTGCAGCGGCGGCGGTGGTGAGGAGAGAAAGGGGGGTCCGGTTATAAAGGGGTGGGTGGGACGGCGGCTGCCTTGGGCGAGGGGGTGGCGCGACGGGAGTCCGGCTCGGACTCCTCGGCGTCCGTGCGGCAGCGGGAAACCTCCCGCCCGGGAGGAAGGCGGCGGCGGCCTGGTGGGCCGGCTGGGCCTTTGGCCCGGTCGGTCTGAAACATTTTTAAAATAAATTTCGTCAAAAGAAAAATTCTAATAAAATATAAAAAAATTATAAAGATACCAGAAACAATTTTTACCGTCTAAACATAATATTTAGAACAAGTGAACATTTTTCTGGCCTAAAAATGCAATTTTCAAAAATACATATTTTTCTAATTCAAATAAAATAACAAATAAAATCTAAATAAAATATTAATTTGATTTTAAAAAATTTCTTCAATATTCCTCTCTTTTGAAGAAGTCATATTATCTTCTCTCTTTTCTTCTTAATATTGGAAATAATTGAAGAGAAAAATATTAAAATCAAATTTGATCCTCTTTTCAAATTTGATCCTCTTTTCAAATATTAAAAAGATCCATGCGCTAAACATCCACTTGTGAAACCTTTGCCCAACGGGCTGGATATTCATGGACACCTGGGCCAATGGATAACATTGGCATTCCTACTCACCCGACTAATTATTGATTATTATTTTTAAATGTAGACGCTAATATACACACGTGAGCACTCACCCCTATGAGCATTTCAACCTCATAATTGACGGGAACATTGTCAAACATAGAAAGTAGTGTTTACTGGGCACCAATTATATAGCACTAGAAATACAACCAAGCATTTTAAAAATTATATATACTCATGTGTAGAAAAAAAACGGTTGCGGTGACGACACCAATATGAACTTTCTTTCCTAGAAAGGAGAGTGAAACCCCGATCTATGCATCAATGTGCATAATCATTTTTTTATTAAAGTTGATAAAAAGCATTGAGGCCATTACAACATATGAATATACCATCTACGACTAAGTCAGACTTTTTGCACAACAAGGCCGACAATGTTCCACTTGCCATCTTCATGATGGGTCTTCTGAACCAGGAGACGACACCATGAACATGGAGAAAGTATCAGGTCCTACCAGCCCTTATATACTACCATGATACCATCTTCAAAAATTCAAATTTAAACTTGTCAAAAAATTCTAAAAAAGTCATGAATGTTCATGACATATATGTCGACAACCCCTAAAGAATTCATATCAAAAATCGACATACACATTGAGAAACAAGACAAATCCATGATGAATAATGTCAAAAGAAGGCAAAAGCAAAAATGGCACTATTCACATCTGAATTTATCTTTTTTGTTTCTCCATGTATATTTTGAATTTTGATCTGAAGGGGGTGTCGTGAACATCCATGATTTTTTTCAGAATTTTTTGACAAGTTTAAATTTCAATATTTTAAATTGGTATCGTGGTAGCATATAAGACATGGTATCACTTGATATTTTCCCAATGAACATGGTGAAGCTTGTACGTACCTTTGTTTCAAGTTTTTTCTTTTGAGCGGAAAATTTGTTTCAAGCTTGTACGTGCCTATTAATCCATAGCTAGCCTTGTTAAATTCCATCTCGTCATCATGCAAGTTTTCCTTTTTCACACATTTCATTAGCATGACAGTTCACATATAAATAACTAATGAAACATACTCTGCTAAAAAAAACTAATGAAACATACTTTAGTAGTACGCCAATGTGAAGCCAAATGCATCGTGAACCTATTGCTTGTGGCTCCGTACCTATTACACCTTGAGAATCCCTTGATCGGAGTTAATGGACAGCCACCGCGAAAAAAACCCGACCGACCACGCTAAACACAGACCACTTATTTCACAAGCAACAAGCAATTCTTGTCTTACCCCCGTCCACGAAGCAATTCTATCGACCGAAACCCGCGATTATTCCTTAGCATGGCGCGAGAGATATCACTCAGATGCAAGCAAGAAAAAGAAGATTGTTAAACCTTCCCTCCTTTTACTTCCCAACCCGGCTCACTCCATCCCGCTCTAGCTTGCTCGCCACCCATGATAAAGAAATCGATGCACATTAGCAGGAGCAGTATCGAACAAGCACATCCCGATCCATCTGAGCTCCTGATTCGAAGCTACCGTCCGAGGCCATGGGGCTCTGCGCGTCGATGCTGCAGCGGAGGACGGAGGGGCGGTACCCCGAGCCGAGGCGCGGCACGGCGAGGGCGCTGTTCGTCGTCAGAGGCGACCGCCGGCCGTCGAACCCAGAGGCGCTGGTGGTCCGCGTGCAGGACTCCGGTCGGACACAGCTCCGGAGACATGGCACTGGCAGGGAGGAGAGTGGAGGACGCGGGGGGTGCTGGCAGCAAGGCACGGACGCGCTGGACAGGATGATCACTCGCGCTCGGATGCCCCGGCTGCCTTGCGCGGGCAGCGGGACCGTCGGGGTCGAGCCGGACGCGGCGTTGCGCACGCGTGAGACGGCGTCGGCGGAGCGAGGTGCCCCACCAGGGCTCGGGGTCGAGCCGGACGCGCCGTTGTATACGCGCAAGACGACGGCGGCGGCAGACCGAGGGGGCCTGCCAGGGCCGCGCTGGACGCCACCAACGGCCCCAGCGACGGCGACGCCGGCCATGACACCCATGGGTGGGGCGCCAGCGGCACCGAGTACGCCGGCCTCGGCAGCCATGACGCCGGGCCGGCCGGTGTGGCAGAGGAGGATACTGATGGGGATGCGGTGCGAGCTGCCGCGGTTCAGCGGGCTCGTGCTGTACGACGAGCACGGCCGGCCCATCCAGGTCGGCACCCCGGGCAGAAGGAACCACCGCCAGGTACGCAGCAGGCAGCCAGGCAGACTAAGCTTAGCTCGACAGGTAGTTAGTTTCTTCCTGAGCAATACAGGAGTTCAGATTAATGTACGCTTTTGACCTGTTTTTCTCCAGGGGAAGAAGAAGACTGCCAGGACATCTTCCACCACAACTCTCAGGGACCTCTTATAGGCTAGAGCTAGCTGCGATTCATTGACAGAGAATGCTTCTCTGTCGAATGCTCTGTTGTAAAGCGGCAAATACTTCTCATGCGAGTATATCAATGTTCTAGTGTCGAGAAATTGTTTGAAGGCCTTCACTGTAACATTGCAACTTACTACATTGTTGGAAAAATTGATGATAGGGCGCGGACGCTGATGGGCCATCTAACCATGTCCCCTAATTGTCTGTATTTCTTTTCTAATTCCGCAACACTCAAAATAATAATAGAAAATAGCACAATTCATCCATTTTTCTTTCAATATCCCTAGTATAACAATAGTTTAGGATGTTCACAAGAATTCACTGATTTTGAATTCAGCGGTACTCGAGTCAAAACTGACACATGTCATTTCGTACATAGTTTCTCTTGAACTTCACCTAACAATGTATGAGCGTAAATAGCTCGCCCTTGGTCTTGTAGTACAGGGTGACAAGCGTCCAGGCTATACAACCTGATGGTTATCAAGTTGCAAAACTGAGTGAATCAATAAACTGACCAACTTCCTGCCAAAAAAAAAGATCAACATTATGTAGAATAACAAGCAAAACTTACGGGTTGACGAGCCCGATGGTCACATTGTCTCCTCTCGTGCAATCACACCACAAAACTTCATGACATCATTGGAGATGATGTACAACCTGATACGTTAGTGACTTTGCATTGCGTTTATAGATGATGTGCATGTCGTTGGGTGCGGAGTTTTTTTGCTCATGAAATGAAGCCTGCACGTTTTGCCAAAATGTCGAGCCCTTGTTCATGCCTATAAAGTCCGCAGATACGACAAACCACGTATCACACAACAACTCATCATCAATAACCGAGCACACCGCCATCGTGCTTACTCCAGAAAACAACAAGTTCAACAAAAAAGCTCAATAACATTTGACTGAAGACCTGTCGGGCGTGGTGTCTGCCGTAGACGGTGTCGAGAGGGGGCGGATGATACCTGGCTGCAGAGGGATCCTGGGTGGACCGCATGTAGGCGCGTGGGTGGGGGCTGTAAACGTCAGAGGATGCCTGGGCGGCGGCCGGAGAGGTACAACGGCAGATGGTGCAGATGAAAGCAAGGGGGAGCAAGGGTGGAGTGGAAGAAAAGTGGATTGGGAGGGAGATTTGAGTAGGCTGGGGTTGTCAGAGTCATATGTGGCGGTGGTCCGGACTCTCGCAAAGCCCCCGCCCCAATTTGTTTTTGGTTTGCCGAAAACAGACAGTTGGACGCATCGTCGGACAGATATGGGTCTACGCTGGATGCCAAAATGTGTCCGGACAGCTCGGTCCAAAGGTTGTGGGAGGTTTGAGGGTGCATTAGAAATGCTTTTACAGGCATGGCCGAGGTGGTGGTAGAACATTAGAGATGATGGCTCTTGCAAATTGGGGCAACGAGACGCGCGCGGTAGTGTAGTCAACCGTGGTTGATGATGGCCATCGGTTAGGCTTGGATTGGGGGAAGGATTGAAGGGTGGGAAGAAGATGGACATAATAGATGGGGGAGAAAGTAGGAGGAGAACTTTTGGTCTGTGGGGACATATGCACCTTATATGGGAATTTTTTTAGTAATTCAACAAAAAGTCAAAAATTCCTGAAAATATTTTTGAAATAAATTTGACCTTCTATTGTACTCATGAAATAAAATCCACAAAAAATATATCCTTTTGACTTCTTTTCAAAAAAGACAAATTTTTGGCTAAAATAATGTAAATAGTGACCTACAATAGCAAATACATTTTGTCCTTTTTGCTGTGAGGTCAACTTTTGTTGTTTTTTTCATCGACATTTATATATCAGTGCAAAAGTAAGTCAAGTGTTTTGTCAAAAATATTAAAAAAAATCCCCATATAGAGTGCATATACAACCAGGAACCAAAATATATTTCCCGGAGAAAGCAATTCTATCATGCACGGATCCATCGTCTGTGGTTACTTTGAGATTCATGCTTTGTTTTTTTGACCATTTTCAAAATTTGTTAGCGTTACATTTGCTTTTTCCTCTTGTTCCAAAGTGTACATTAATGTCTCATTGTTGTATATTATCGTGTATATTAAAAACGATCCAAAATAAGAGCATTTTTTTATTAGCACATAATGAAAAGTGATGATACACAGTGAAATTAAAAAAAATGAACAAAACATTCTGAAACGAGATAAATTGTGACAACAAAAAATAAAATAGCATGAATCTCAAAGGAACCACGGACGTTGGGTCCATGCACTAGGTAATCTGTGCAGCCCCGTAGATGAACCACTCTCCAGCAAAACCGAAATCGGGCAAGTGACCGTAGGCAGTTCCTTTTTCCTCCTCTGCGGCTAGGAATCCGAACGCGTACATGATCCCGTTGCAGTCTCGGTCTCGCCCAAGCCACGCAGCGGGTTGACTTCGAGTCCGGGGAGCAGTCGAGCACGTCTCGCTGACGCTGGGCATCCCAACCTCTATATATACGGCCGCCACCATGCGATCCTCTCCTCTCCTCTGCTCTGCTCGTCTCCTTTCCTTTTCTGCCGCGCCGCTTCTTCCATCGACCTCCTCCTCCGTTCCCGATCGATGGCCATCAAGCGCGTCTTCCCCGGCGACCACCCCGACTTCAAGGTGGACATGAGCGGCGGCGCCCCGAGGCTCACCTTCTGCAACAGGGCGCGCTACTGGAGCTCCACCGACTACCAGGAGACGCGCGCGCTCGGCGTGGGCGCCTACGGCGGCGTTGTGGAGGCGCGCCACCTCACCAACGGCTGGACCGTCGCCGTCAAGAAACCGCTCCCCTGCGCGCACGAGGGCGCTGGCATCGCGTGCGGCTGCGCCGACGCCCGTACGCTGCGCGAGGCGGCGTTCCTCGCCGCGTGCCACCGCCACCGCGCCATCGTCGAGCTCCGGGCGCTCTCGCTCGACCCCTTCGCCCGGAAGCTCTCCGTCGTGATGGAGTGCGTCGGGCCCAACCTGCACGACGTCCTCCACGAGCACCGCTGCGGCCGGCCGTTCCCCGAGGCCGACGTGCGCTGCATCATGGAGCAGCTCCTTGGCGCCGCCAAGCACATGCACGGGCTGCGCATCATCCACCGCGACATCAAGCCGGGGAACATCCTCGTCGGCGCAGACGGCATCAGCAGCGTCAAGATCTGCGACCTAGGGCTCGCGGTGTCCATGTCCGAGCCCGCGCCGTACGGCCAGCACGGCACACGCCGATACATGGCGCCGGAGATGCTCCTCGGCAAGACCGACTACGACGCCACGGTTGATATGTGGTCCCTCGGCTGCGTCATGGCCGAGCTCCTCTCCGGGAAGCCGCTCTTCGACGGGGACGACGACGCCCAACAGCTCCTCGCCATCTTTCGTGTTCTCGGCGTGCCATTGTTCACCACCTGGCCAGACTACGAGTCATTGCCGCTCGCCGGGAAGCTGGTGACGCCGCCGCATGTCATTTCCCGCAACAAGCTCCGTGAGCACTTCCCAGAGGACCTCCTCTCCAAAGAAGGCTTCGAAGTCCTCAAGGGGCTCCTCTCGTGCAACGTCGACAAGAGGTTGTCGGCCACCACCGCGCTCAGGCGACCATGGTTCGCCAACGTCACCAATGATTTGTATTGCGTTGATCACAAATGTGCATGAGATTGTATGTTGGTCAAGTGAAGAGCACTTGGTGTATAGCTTGTTGCAAGAACATAAAACTACAACTGTAGGCGTCCTAAACACTACTAAGTGTTGGCTGGTTTCCTCATGGATCAGTCCTCTCCATTGGATGTTGAATGAACGATGGATTGGTGGCTGCATGTTACAGCGTGACTGGCCATGGGCAAGTCACCTGATCCTCGAATATACTTCTTCCGTTTTTATTTACTCTGCACATTAGAGTCGACCGAAGTCCAACCTCATAAAGTTTGACCAAGTTTATAGAAAATAATATAAACAATTATCATAACAAATCTATATGATGTGAAAATGCATTCAATAATAAACCTAATAGTATTGATTTATTATTGTATATGTTAATAACTTTGTCTATACACTTTGTCAAAATTTACCAAGCTTGACTTTGACCAAAGCTAATATGTGGACTAAATCAAAATAAAGGGAGTGCCTTTTGGCTGAAAACTAATGCATCCGCACTTGACCACGAGTGAGAGGAGGTGCCTTATCAAGGCGCTGCGTGCTGTGGAGGACCCCATGCATGTGTTGCATGTCCCGACAGGCCCGAGGAGGGCCGCACGGACAAAG